GTTTTGCGCTCCGTTGGGTTCTGCGTTCACTTACCGTTCTCCGTTCACACATCGTTCACCAAGTTGCGTTCAGCGTTCACACCCGTTCGTTCCCCGTTCGCTCTCGTTGTTCACCGTTCGTTCACCGTTCGTTCAGCTTTCGCTCACCGTTAGGTGGGAAAGTAAACTTTCAGGGACTGTAATTATTAAAACTAAAAGAAAATAATTTATTAAATAAAATGTGTATAGAATATGAATTTGTCTAGTAGCATTGAAGCTGCACAGGGATAAGTACGGAAACGTATAACCGCCTCGTTTTTTTGTATTAGAACCGATATTATGGTATAAAGATGTTGCCAAATACAATTACTTCAAGGTTCGGCGACTTAATTATGACAACAATCTCTGATGAATAATACTTTTCTGATATAATTAGACGCATTTTACATTTTGATATATCCAAGTTGAGTTCCTAAATGTTGCACTCAAATAATGTGAAAAAACTATGTCGCTAAAATTAATTATCGCAGAAATTAGTGCATATACTATGTATGAATATTTCGCTTAGACGACTCGATTTAATCAAAAGCAAAATTCAACAAAATTTGAACGACATTAACATAAGATTTATACAAAATACAAGATTTAATAAGTCCAATTTGGGCCCCTGAAGGAGCAAAAAGATTTACAAACAAAAGAAGGCGGAGGATCCAAATTTTAGAACATTCATGATAATGAGAGCAATTAATAAAAATGTATGTAAGAGATATACTCAATATACATAAATGTATTGTATATGTTAAAATAAAATTATAGTTGAAGGCAAGAAACGGGGAAAAAAAATTAAGTACATTATACTAGCAAGTGATCTAAGGATACCAGGGTCTTCATTAGTCATGAGCCAATTAACTTGATTATCATAAGATAAAGACTGAGTAATTTTACATTTAAATTTTACGAATATTTATGAGTTCAAGTCTTTGTACATTAAGATGAGGACATACAAGGAGAAAATGAATTCCATCCTAAACATAACGTATTGCACTGAATTGATGTCTGATTTAAATAAGATAATTCAAATAGTTATAGTATCCTTGTAGGCTCTTCCCTAAATAATAAATCTCATGGATGTTGCTTCAAAGGACAGTCACTAAAAATTTTGGGTAATCTTGTACTTTTAAACTATGATAACAAATTTTAATATGTTCTTAGCTTGGAGAACATATGCAAAAATATATGCATCAAATATTGTCGTCTGATGTGATGTCATCCACTGTTAAATATGACCTCAAACTATTAAAAATTCAAAATTAAAAGAAAAATGTATATTTTCTTTGATAATTCAATTGGAAAAAAAATCGAGCGTACGTCTGCACATCTTTTACTATTTTTTAACATGATTTGTAGATTGATAAATTGAACGAAATAATTTGCATTTTGTCCTCTTTCTTTCTAAAGATAACACACAAGCTATTAGTTAGTGCTGTCACAAGCAGTGCTTTGATTTATTTGATAAATTCAGATTTATGTTATAATTTATACAAACATATATTATGAAGTTGTTCTTTGAGTACATTTAAAAAGCAAAGATATAAACAATTTATAAACAATTATAACCTTAAAAATCTTATTCATTTTTAATTAATTCTGAGAAAAAAAAACATTGCGACAGTGTAAAATTTTGGATTTATTTAAAATTAAATCAATTTCGGAGAATGAAAATAGGCCCGTGGCTACGGTTTTAAAGGTGGCTCGGGTCTTTAAAAAAGCACACACTCATCGATTTAATACAATAGTTATCATTAATAAATCTGATGACTTTAATTTTGTTGAATTTTCCTCTTTGATTAAATTATCGAAATCTTCATATATGTTATATTGCACTAATTTCTGCGATATATAATTTTAGCGACATAATTTTTACAAATTATTTTAGTGCAACTTTAGGAACTCAACTTGGATATATCAAAGTGTAAAAGGCGTTTAAATATATCAGAAAAGTATTATTCATCAGAGATTGTTGTCATAATTTAGTCGCCGAACCTTGAAGTAATTGTATTTGACAACATTTTTATATCATGATATCGTGTTCTAATACAACAACACGAGGCAGTTATACGTTTTCGTAGATAAGGAATATAGAAAAATCGCTAAAACGATGAGCGTATTCGTGATTTACATCAAAAGTGCAAGGGCATAGACTATTTTGTTCAAGCTGAAATTTGGAATATTTATTGCTCATATAGTGTATATTTTGAAAAGTGCTGGGAGCTGATCCTGGTCTGCATAACATTAATTTTATTTATAACAGAATTTAAGCGAGGTGGAAGTTTTTAGCTATGTTTTAGCTATGTTAAGCATTTTCGGCAAAATTTATAAGTACTTTGCAAACAGCACTGACTAGCTCCCAGCACTTAGGATATAAACCTTTTTTAATGTGTATCATTTCTTTTTTGAAAAAAAGGTACCCTTGCACTATCTACATTTCCTACATTCAGCTTAACAATTTATTTTTATACAAATCTTGTTTACCAAAGATGCTTTTAGATGGAAGAAATATACTTTGTGTATAGTTTTATCTGTGATTTTCCAATAGCGATTGTGGACTGTGATTGTCTCATCACTGCGCAAGTGAATTTCGACTAAAACACTGAAGTGGTAAGATTCTGTCTTTTCTTATTTTTTTCATTTTCAGAAATTGAATTTTCATTTGAACTTTGCATGAAAATATACCGTAAACTTTCAGGCATTCATATTAACAGGAATCATTCTTAAAATGTATTTAGGCTAAAACACACAACAGTTCGTCAAAACATACAAAGTGTCAAGTGCTTCCTTGTCCACTACTTAAAAATGTTCTTTTTTGTTCTCGTTAGAAAGACATTGTCATAGGGGTTACATGTATCCTTATCAAATCCACAGTTCTATATATACCACTGAATAAAAATTAATGAAACTTTTACCTTTGTTTAATATTTTTTTGTTAATTTTCATTGCTTATTTTATGTTCTGATCAGACATATATTTGGGGTTCATGATTTCAATTCAACTTATTGTTATCTTCAAAATGAGTGGGCATCTACTTATTATACGGATCTCCTACTGATTGGAGTTTAATCAAACTTTCTTATTTTTTTTTTGACAAGTTCCGTTGTGCAATTTTTAATTTAATGTTATCATCAGGAAGCTACAGTGTATCTGGGGCTTCATATAACAAGAAAAAAATATATTCATTTAAAACAAAATTAAAATTGAAAAAAAAATCTCAATAAATTGAGCTGAGAGAGGAAGAAAATATCAAACATACAGTGTATGATTCCAACGCTCATAATAACTGTAGTTAAAAATTGGGTTGATATAATGGTCAAAACATCGCATATTTAACGTTCGGAGTACTGTTGTACAATATTACATTTTAAACGCAAGGAAGTCTGATCATGTGACCAACTGCATGTCATTAAAAATTGAATTTCACTTATATTTGCATGGTTCGATGAGGAAAGGTAGACGTAAGCAAATGTAATAAGTTGTATTATTTGTAATAATACCAAGAAAGATCAAAAAGTTCGCAAACTATTTTACAAATTTCTATATACATTTAAAATCTAAAATTAATGATATATATAGGTCAAAGAGCGATAACTCTTTATTTAATCTTTACGTTTAAAAGTTTATTTATATTTACACATCATAATAAAATCACAATAACAAATAATTACACACATATAACAGTATTAAAATAATATAATCCAATGTTCACATAAGTACAGATTCTGAGCAAGTGTTTTTGTCTGAGAACATCCCCCTATATATATCTCTAGGCCATTGCTCGCGAGGAGCAATGCATTTTTTGGTCATTATATAATGGCATGGTACGTAAACAAAAATACAGGTATTATGATTATATAATAACTACATTTAACTATAAATCAATCAAATATAAACAAACATAATGAAATAATTAAAGACCGTTACAACTCAACTATTTTTCAAAGTGTATAAATTGGAGGTCTTTGATAACAAACTGCTTAATTAAAGTCACATTTCTTTTCAAACTTGCTTTCACTAGGCACAATACAAGTATTATTTTTAAACATCTACCTTCCTTCATTTTAACGATAAATCAAATCATTGATTAAATTTATAAGGAAGTCATTGGTCATAAAAAAATTGCACAAATTATTTAACGCTACCGCATAAGGGTTTCTAAGATATACAATGCACTTTACAGTCGTTTGTTGAACGAGTATGACTGAGACAACAAATTTTCGTTTTAAGTGATTTACATAAACATTTTCACATTGTGATGTCACACACAAGGAGCAAAACTTTATTCAGCATATGTTATTTATCAAACTCTTGTATGGCTTTGTGTGTACCAATTTATTTTCAGATCTGAATTGTGGTTTTGTAGATATAGAGATAGTTCGCGAACTTTTTGATCGCCCCTCGTATTATTTTATTTAATTTGTTAATATAGGCTAAATGTCTGATTGGAATATTTGTAATGATGATCATAATAAATTTTTTATTTTATACATTTACCTGAATATTCACTTAAGTTTTGAAAAAAATGAACTTTACAAGGAGGGGTTAAATAAGATAAAAAAAATACATAATGTTAAAAAAGACGGTTTATCCATCATTATTCAGCCTTAGAATCGGCTACCCTACATGGTTTGCTGTGTGTATCGACATTTTCTAAAATATTCAGCAATGACGCGAAATTCCGATACATGTAAAGGGTTTTTTAATTAGGAAAGATGTGATGTAATATTGATTATATTGCAAACAAAACCTTGAATATTGAAAGAATTTCGGCATACTGAGAACATTTCAATTTAACATTCATCCACCTCTCCGAAAACACTGATTTCCTAATACATTGTATTACTTTAAAGCATAGGTAAACATTGTAAACTTGACCATTTATAATCTTTTATTTGGTTTTTAATTTTCTAGATGTTTCACATAATACAACATTAAAATCTGAAAGATCTAATTTATTTTGATGAATACAGATTTTTTTACTGAAGTCAGGCTTACCAACTTTGAAAATACGTAAAACAATGGCTAAAAAGTTTTTAAAATTTTAAAGAATGAGAGTCCACATAATCTGATTTATTTACTTTTAAAGAAACCACATATAATTTTAGGAAAACTAATACCCAGAACCAAAGTTGTACAAAACATGGATTACTCTCTTTTAGATATGCAGGAGCCAATCTATAGATCTGAAAATCCCTGAAACAATTGAAATGCAACTACAATTACTCAGTTTAAAAATTAATTAACAATTGGAATGGAGAGGGACAAAAGATTAATAAACTTAATCTTCAGTTTTTGCTCACTTTCAGTTCCTTTTTTATTTATTTATTTATCTATTTTGTATTGCTCTTATGTTTTAAGATTTGTTTTGTTTTCTTTAAAACATAATTTTATAAATTTATAGTTAAAGAAATATATATATTTTAACTAAACAAATTGATCAAAATATAATATTATCAAATAGGAAAGTGGAAGACCTGTAATTTAAACACAAGTGATCGGTGACTCCTTTATAATTTTCTGTGTTGTTTTTTATGCATGATATATGTGCTTTCTGTGTCGTTTTGTGTGTATATGTGTAAATACTGTGATGCATACAAAAATATATGTGTATAGTTATTTATGAATGTACTAATATAATCTCGGTCAAAAGCTCTACGGAACTTATGTTTATGCTATAAAAATCAGACTCAAAATAAAATTTTTTGATCTGATTCTGATTAAACACTTCCATATAAGAATACATTGTAATATGCACTGTTAACGAAAATTGTCAAATGCTGCTTCTAAAATAAATTTACAACATTCAATTGATTTTTTTTTAATTTCAGAAGCAGTTTCTTCAATCTTTGGTTTATTAATGTTTTTTAGATTTTCACACGACAACATTAAACTCTGCTTAACTTTAATTGATGAATAAGATTTTTTCTTCATTCCATTGGCAAATACTTAAAATAATAGGTAAAATAAGAATTATCTCCGTTTTGTAACATTATCTTGTCCACAAACTGACACTGTTTAAGATCATTCCCGGATAAATTACCCATAACCAAAGTTGTTTCGTCTTAGCACGGAACAGAGAAAGATTAATGGAAATTCCGACATCATGCAAATCAGTCTCATCATATGTGAGATGTTTAAGCTAGAAAGAGCGACAAAAGATTAATAAACATGTAGTTCCCTTTCACTTGAAAAGATTCTTTATGTTTTTCTTTTACATAATTTTATGTTATTGTATGCACTATACGTGTGTCCAATAATAAAAGTAGAAATTGAATAATTAGAATGTTGAAATGGAAAAGTGAAAGATCTGTCAATATTGAATACACCAGTGATCGGTGAGTAAATGTGGGGCTTTTTTTTTGTAGAATCACAGCATACGCTTACAAAAATATATGTGCCTGCACTTAATACAATGTACAAGGTTCAGCATCAAAGAAATAGTTTTATTTCTTGTTCAAATTAAAGTTCATAACCCTTAATAGAAGAAGTTAAACATCACATTTTATGCAAGATCGGAAGTGCTCTTTGTGCATTTTATGAAACACATTTTGATCTCTTCCGGTTTAGTTTGTTAGCATATTTTTCAATGTCTCTTGTGATATGTTTCATTCAATTACAGATGATAAGTGCAATATAGTAGTAGCAGTAGAAGTAGTAGTAGTAAGTATGTATTTATTTGGTATCATGTCATCATACACAAAGCAAATACAAATAACTATACATGTACATGATTAAATGAAAGACAGAATTTGGCAATCTAGATTTTATATAGATCGATGCTTGAAAAATAATTGATGTAACAATATTTTTTTTTAGAAATGGCATTTTACTATGATGAGATTGAAACCAGGATAAACCATAAAGAATAAATCACAATACAGTGTAGTGAATGATCCATAATTAAAGCACTATGATAATCTTGGGGCATTATTATGTAGCTCCTTTTGGTTGCATAAACATCTAATTGAGTGATTACGATAACATTGACATTATCTATAAAATAATAAAATATACTAGTATTTTTGAACTTGTAGTAGTTAAGAACACTTCCATTTTCTAAAATGTTATTTTGTAAGATAAAACTCTTGACTTCTTTCGTAAAAGTACTTTTCCTTTTGTACATTTGATAGAGGCTGGTATGAAAATTCCATTATTTGGTGCAATTATAATAAAAACATGTTTGCTTGAAATGTTTTCAAATGAGTTATAAAAAAATCTCTATTAGAGAATGCTCTTGTGTTGCGTGAAGATAGTGCTGATCGCAGAGTCAAGTTTTCGTTTAGATAAGATGATTCCTAGCCATTGTATAAATTATACATAGTTTAGTCTGATTTTTCATACCCGATCTTCCACTTTTAACAAATCCAATTAACTAAGTCCTTTATAATTCACGATATGTAAAGGGGATAGCTTTAGTATCAATCCTACTTTTTTGATTTGGCATATTGGTAATTTCTTTCTCAGACTTTTTAATAAACCTGCATACTCTACACAGCTGGAATAATATAAATGACATTGTATCGGAGCAGAGCGTAATGACATTTTACAATCTATCTACACAAGCTCTTCAATTTCTTTAAATCAGTTATATGCAAACCATACTTTTTATCTACTTCAACTCTGAAGTTGTACAACTTCAGATTATCTGCGTTTTACATGTTTTATTGATTATCTGCCTGAAATAAGAAGAAAATAAATAAGTAATCAATCTTACAGGTCATTTGACACAATACATTTTAGAGGAAACGCTCATTACATGTTGCTAAGATTAAGGTTTCCCGAAGGTTTGAAATGCATTTTAAAAATAATATAACATAGCAATATCTGATTTGATTATTCATTTGTGATCGTTTTACATAATTACAGCTGATTCATACAGAGGTTTCTCGCAGCGATATAAAGTAGCCTAGTTTTTGCAATGACTACGCACATCGCGAGACGGTTATTTATACATTTTTGAAATGTCTCGCATTAATTTCTGCTGCGCAGCCCCGAAACACAATTTTAGGAGATATTTTGTCATTTAAATTAATTCACCATGTTCTTGTCAACCCAAGATGTGCTTAGAAAAAGATATATTTATTTGTTACTGGGGTTCAAAATATATCGCAAGGATTTCTAGTAACAGACATAAATGGGAGTTTTTTCCACTCAAAATTGCAATATGAAACAATGCAATCACAGATCTTAATTACGTTTACTTAAAAAAAATTCCCTGGATATATAGAACTTCTGAAATTGTATTATTCCAAATTAATCACCAACGACCAAATTCGTTTTACACACATAATAAATCTACCTCTGATCTTTTACTTTTGATATCATTATAGTGTTTTGATAAGGGTGTTTCAGGCTTATATGGAGGTTTGACTCCTTTTTTTCTCTTCCGTGTTCGTTTTCATGGAAGTTCTTGTCGTTATCATCATCTTCCTGTTCGTTTTAATGTTCCATAAAAGCTGTAGTAATTGAAATCACTTAGTCTTAAGAATCTTAAAAATGTGGAATTACAAACAATATGAAATAGTAAGGATGTCGGCACTCCTCTTACCTCTTACAAAATTCAGTTTAAATGCATGGCAGGTTGGCTATCAATGTACTCTTTATGCTGTCTCCTTTACCAAAGTTTTGCTTGTCATTTCTTGTTCTTTAATAAAAAGTGAAAATACTTCTAAGTACATAAAAAAGTCTTTTTATTTCCTTTGAAATTTAAATCCTATATAATGGAGTCAAATTTCCCATACTTCTCATAACTCTCTTACTAAAACAATAAACGAGGGTTATCTTTTATTGATTTATAAAAATCAAACTGATTAAACTAATCATAAACACTTCAGATCAACAGAAGATGCAACAAGTTTCATAGCAACAGATTACAGTCCCACAAAATTACCTGTTCCAACTTTAATAAGTTAAAATATACGCATAGAAACTCTACAACAATGTTATCAAGCAAGTTCAAGTCCATGCATCGTGACATTTCGGATTTGCTCTCAAGAATCCAGGACACATAAAAGACTTGCGTCTGCATGTCCCTAACAGTCTTACTGCTGATCTCAGCTTCTAATGCTACATAGCACGACATATGAAAGGATGAATACATATCTTTAGATGTAAACGCATGTCTACGAAGTCATATCCTAATAATACCATTAAGAAATCTGTGAAACAGGAAGGTCTTTTTTCTAGTAGCGGTCAGTAATGGTACTACTAGTGCTCTTTATCTCTCATCAGCATGGATTTCCAAACATGACATCAAATCAAATATAAACTAATCCGAAATAAGATAGATTTAGAAACGCACAACGTTAAAGAGGCCATATTATAACGGAGCTATTTTTTTCATGTTAACTAATCAGTATTGATGTAAATAGAATGATTATTTGTTTTCGTTTTGAAAGTAAGCAGGGATCGCAAATGTAAATTGACATTTAATAGTTGTTAATTTATTTTATTATTTTAAAGATTCTATATAGAGCACTTGTTATGGCTATAAATTTCACAAGATCGGTAAATTATTCATTTCGTTTTCAGTTTTAATTTTCTGACAATTGGTTCGACTTACGTATATCATGTTTACATACATGGCTTTTAATCTAACAATATCTTTATGTTGGCTTGTATATATGAATCAACAAGGAAATTATTATTATTATTATTATTATTATTAAAAAATATACATGTTATCATGCACTCAGTGTATTTTATGAATTAAAAAAAAATATCAAGGGTGATTTCCCGATGCAGGATTTAATTACGTTAAGAAGCGTTAAGTGTAATTGCTAGAATTGATAATATGGCAAATGTATCATAAGTTGTCGGAAAAAAAAAGTCGTGTTTGCAGAAATATTTGAGGAACCACATTACCTAATGCTGTATTGTGTAAGATTAAAGAAGATTAAAGAATATTTGAATAAAAAAAATTAAAACTGCGCAGTGAAAGTTATTCATTTCACTCATTTACACATGACCTAGGTTGATAATTTTATTTCTTTTGACAATAGTTTGTTTGTATCATCTGTCCTTAAGTTCTCTAATTATTGAATCCTTCATGAGTTGATAACAGTTGAAATGTGACCGCTTTTCATCACAAAATTCCATTGTGAGATGCTGGAAAACAAGGGCTTCTAATATACTGCATTTAAAATGAATAGTCAAGAATCAGTAAACTAGATTGTGAAATTAAACTTCATTAAAGCTGCTATAAAAGTTATTGCTTTATCCTAAAAATACATTAAATGAAATATGTTTAATTTAGAGCAACCTATGCCTGTTTATACACAAATGATCAGATGGTTTTGATCATTTTTTGATCAATGAACAAAAATGATATTATGGGCATCAAAAATGGGTACCGTCCTTGAATACAAGGACATACAACATGTATATTTGCGAAATTTCAACAAATTATCACTGAATATGTTTGATTAACTTTGAGACAAATAGCAAATTTTATTGTAATCAATTTTTGGGTAGTCCATACTGTTTTAAACAAACAATTCTACATTGTATAATCGAGAGTTAATATTAAAACGTAAAAAAATGATGCAGAATTTAAGAAATAAAGGTCTAGACAAAATTTCCTTAAAAGTTCAGGATCAAACCTACTCCTTAAGTTTTTTTTTTAGTACGTCTGTTTATGTCTTCTCTATGTCTTCTCTATGTACAGGTAATATATGAAATATGGAAACTTCTTTAATTTTAGATAAAGGTTAACTCTCCATATTTTTTATCTTTTATTTCATTTTTGGCAAGGTAGAAGGAGTCCGATGTGTTCATCCTCTAAGAATTAAACTATTGTGCTGTTGTGTGATGTAAATTGACCAAATTGAGAAATTTTTAACACTCAATGCCTAAAAAGCACATATTGTCAATTGTTTGAAACGGAAGAAACAGGAAGAGAGAAAAAGTAGTTATTTCCTGAGATTTCGAGAAGGACTTGTTTACTTTATTCTTCAAATTTTGCATCAAAATTTAGTTTTAAAACAATATTGTTGATATTACATTCAATAAAAAAAAATGGATGATTAAATCAATATATAAAGCACTGCTAAACTGCTCCAATAAAATTAAGTAGTCCATACATTATTTTCATGGAATGCAATTTTAAATCATGCAAAATAGTAATTCCGATAACCATATTCAGTTTAATATTTTTAAGAAAGGGACTTTAAGGGGTGAATAACAAGAAATTACTTTTTGTAGTAGTAGGTAGGCAGTCGTGATAGTTTTCTTTTGTTTAAACTGGAAAAACTCCCATCTTCATGACTTTATTCCATTATTTCCATTTTGAGAAACACAGTTAGATATACTCCGTCTTGTTTACATACTTACATGATTGTATTATACCCCGATGCATCTAAGACCTACCTTATTTATTATGCATCAACAAAAGAATTTCTCTTCATCTTAGAAAATAATATTGCACGCAGGTAGGTTAAGGTTACAACCAAATATTCTACTTGCCTATATGATATGACGTCATAGTAAGCTATACGACTTGAAGTTTAGAGATAACAATTTCATAAAAATCGATATCTAAGATTGATTTGAGGTCGTAAAAATGAATTAAAATATGCATAGGCATAATTTTAACGGAAATATGTCGTTACTGGGCCTCTGTAGTTATCACAGGGGTTAAATACCAAACCCATGACGTCATAACTGTTGATCACGCAGTAGCAGAGTGAAAGTCCAAAAGTGTTTAATAATTTTTTTGTGTGATAGGACAGTAGGATTCTAGCAGCACTTTTCTTGGTACAGAGATATTTTTACATAACTATTATTACAAATTAAAACTTATTATCCCCGGGGTAGTGTTGAACTTCTCACTTTTTCATTAAGGCATATTATCTAATTATAGATATCACGTGGTGACGTCATGGTGAAGTGCTTACTGTAGTATAAGTTCCATTGCAGTCTATAGAATGCATAATTATTGCAAAAGTTTTATCCTTGACTTTTCCAATTTATTGATGTTACATGATTATAAAAAAGTGTTAAATCGACGAATTCTGATCCATGTGCTGCCTTATCATACCTGCGCATTTGCCATTCTAGCCTTTTTTTGAAAAACACCGGTACATACATGCAGTCTATTCATTGTTTAGTTTCTGAGAATTAGAACAAAATATTATTTGAATATACGAGTTCATGGAAAACCCGTTATTAAGAATTTGTAAGTCATCAGGTAAAATATTTAATGCTAGTGGTTTAATAACTTGTTGTAGAAGACAGATGGGTCGGAATGTGACATTCCGATCAGTGTCAACCTGTCCCAAAGACGCTCCCACTTGGCTGAACAACGGCATCAAGTTACAGTGCCCCAATGATACACAAGGTAGGAACCTGTACCAGTGTGTACCTAATGAGAACAGATCGTCACTGGTGGAGTTTTGTTCTAAAGGGAGTATTGGCAGATTTGAAGCAAGTAAGTCAAAGATATTTGTAAAAAGAAAATAACACATAGATTCCAATCAATTTTTTTCCCTTTTAATCTATCAGATTTACATAATGTCCTTGCTGAGGCCGGAATTAAAAAAATATCTTTGTTTCCCCTAACCCGAACCTGAATTCTCAAGTTGGGTCGGTAGGTAGGTTAACAATTTTATTTTCTGACAGCAGCTTTGATAATACATTCTAAAATTTAATGGAAAATTACCTTTATAAATAAGAAAAGTACAAAATAAAGTAATTTGTGAACAAAATGCTAAGTATCGCAAATATGCCGTTTAAAAGCAAAATTCATGATTAATTAGTTCATAACTGTTATTCAGTTGAACTTGTGAAATATTTCACTCCATTACATTTATATAAATTGAATAAAATAGACAAGTTTCTCAAATACGCAAAGACCAGACATACGAGTATATTTTTTCAAACCTTTCATCAGCCTTCAGAGCTTATAGACGATAAATGTACTTTTTTGAGGGCCATGAGATTTGCAATGGTACTGGAGCATTTTGCTTTGGTGTTAAGAAGTAAGTGGCTAAATTTAAATCGCAGGTTTAAATAACAATTAATAACGTTGAAAGGTTGAAGTCCTTCAAAGGGGACCATAAAAACTTATGTCCAGTGTCGCAGAAGATGGTTGCTCAAAAAAGACACCCCCCCCCACTGCTTAATGGCAAAAAAGTGCTGAGTACGTCTAAATTTGGAGCAATGGGGAAATAGTTAAATGTAGTCCTAACAAATCTCGAAGGGATTAAAAGCAAAGAAACAAACAATCTTCCAAGGCCTAATTAAAAAAAAATACACTGAACGTCTCAGGAAGCTGAATCATGATTTAAAAACTAGTTGGGAAGAATATGTAAACAATATTTAATTGAACCAACCCAAATCTACAAATGATAAAAATGCTTTATACATGTACAATGTCATAGACATGAAGTTTAACCACTAAATATAGGTATGAAGAAAGGACATCTGAAGTATATTTATCAGGATGAATATGCAAACATTTTTACAACTCCTATGGTTCCATAATGGCATATAGTAAAAAAAGTATTATAGATGAACTGGTTATTAGATCAAAACTCAAATTAAATGAAATGCAATGAAATTAAATGACGTGTTCACTAGGTGGTTCCCTCATCTACTCATGAGGCGGGCCTTGCCATATATTACGTACCTTGAATTCAAAGACAGGTTTGTTTGTTTGTTGTTTAACGTCCCATTTAAAAATGTATTCACTCACATGGAGACGCCAACACACCTCCAAAACATTCTTAGTTAGTCACAGTAAATTTTATCATTGAATTGTTTCAAAAGCAAAGAATTCCAAAAAGCTAAAAACATAGTATTGAGACGTCGCCATTGTTTTATGAAGAGCTACTGCCCTAGGCCTGTAACAACATCTGGAAGTCATTTTCTTTCCAACAAATGCTTAAAAATCACAGAAGAACGACGTCGGCCGTTCTGATAAAAAGTGATTTTAATGAAATTGTATTTTATAAAACTAGGTTAAATAAAAAAAAAATATTTGAATCAATTTATTCAAAAAATCTTTTCAGTCGGCGCGATTTAATTGGGTCGGTCGCGTTAGGGGAAACAAAGGTATTTTTTATTTAAGCCTACACAAGCAACTTAGCCGCATATGATTCTCATATATGAGTATAATATGATTCTCATATGATTGATCTCATATGTGAATCATAGAAAAAGGACATTATATGTGAATCATATGAAGCAAATAATGTGATTCACATATGATCCACATATGTGAATCATATGAGAATAACTATATATGATTTGCATATGAATGATTTAAGTGTGTTTCAAGCCATTTACATATGAGAATCATATGAAAATGGCATCATATGTAAATTATATGAAATATTTAATTGTGTTTCAAGTCATTTACATATGAGAATCATATGAAAAGGGGTATCATATGTAAATCATATGAAACAGTTATGTGTGTTCTCTTTCAATATTTTTCATATTCTTGTACACATTTAAAAATCAGATATTTCTGCTTTAGATGAAAATTTATTACATTACATGTAAAATGATCTATCTTCATTGGTTAAATATTTTAAAATATTTTATAATGCTTACACAACTTTTTTGGTAAAATTATTTTCATCAAGAGAAATAACTAATTTTTCACAGTGTACATTCTAAACAAAAAAATATACAAACAAGTCAGTAGCATTTGTCGATACATGTATTTAACATATTCTAAAATGAGTACAAATTATAAGATTTCAGCAAAATGATTAAGTAGTTAAACATGTATACATGTACAAATGAATAAAATAATTAGGTCATGTACTTGTATAGATCTACCATATGACATGAAAGTGTCCACTGCAAAATTGAAATATCAGCAATAACATTTGTCATGTATTCTCGAGCTCTATTGTAAATTTATGAAAAATCAGGTTTTTTTGATATTCTAGCATACAAATAAGAATGGGAAATCTTTACAGGTCAAATTCAGACAAGGTTGTGTACATTTTCCACATTTCAGAATTATTTCATATATTTCCAGGTTCTTTTTCCTTTTTTATCTTTTCAATATTTTCAGTTGTCCTCCCTCTGATCTGACCATTGTGAAAATCTCTTTGAACTGTACCAAATATGCAAATCCACCAGTTCTCCCCTTCCTGAACAATTTCTTTGTGGCACAGAATGGTCTCTACAAAAATTTCAAAAATAAAATAATTCTTAAATTACAAAATCAATTCTACAAGTTATATTAAAGTAATTTATCATCAGCAACCAAATGTATTCCCCAATTTACCGACACAGATATAATACGACTACGAAATAAAACTAATGTTATACAGAAAAACTTCTCTAAACCGGCCAGCTGCCGGGCTGAATAATATGGCCGAACTAGAGGGGTGGTCGGTTTCTCGAGAATCTAACATATTGAAGAAATGTAGAACTATGTGACAGATGCTAGAAAAAATATTTAATACACTGTATTGGTTTCTATTGTATTTATCTGTCATCATGTTATTAATACATGTTGATTTTTATGAAAAGAAATTAAAAAAAAACGAGAACAGAAAAAAACATGGACAGTTACTTCATTAACCATATAAGAAGAAATAAACCGGACCCTTTGCCTTAACTGAATTCTATACAGAATCTGTGTATCGCTTACGTCATTAAAAAAATGTATCTACTTCAGTTAAAATTAAATAGTTAAAACATTTCTGAACAAAACTTCTGTTAACAGTAATTTTAATAATGAAATGTCTATTTTGCTAAATGTTTTATTTTATGTTCTCGGCATTTTTTAACAGTTCCCAAATTCAAGACCGCTTCTGTATTTAAAAAGATGATGCAATATGGCGTGCGAGAATCCGTTGATTCATTCTGTGATTTAAATTTATTAGTTGATTGATATTTTATTAATTTAAGTTTAATTGATGTTAATCATATGTACACAGCTTAGACCGGCCATTTACGTAGTCTGGCTCAATAACTACCCCTTCAAGACGGCTAAACAATAGAAAACTCTATGAGCCATATTCAGTTTTTCACACATCTGACCTCTCGTGGGTAGGCTATTTTTCACACCTCCGGCCGGTCATTATACCCCCTCTGGCCAATGACAGTAACATTTCTTGCTATCAAAAAGCGGCCGGTATGATGAGGGGATATTTCCTACGGTTTTCAGGGGTGGCCTATATAGTTTCATAGCTTTTAAAGCCAGCATATTCTATTCATACTTACCATATTTTAAAAGTGCATTGGATTAAAATTGTTTCATAATGTAGAATACAACTTCTTTATTATTGAGTTGAATTTAATTTTGATGACGCCATGCAAACAATGCAGAATTATAAAGGAATTAAAAAATGTAACAAAAAGAAATCATCAAGAAATATTTTTTCATAAAGGAGTCATTACAGATGTACACTTTGATTTTTTATTGCAAGTATTTTTTTTTACCTTAAATATTGTGATGATGCAATCGTCTGTCACAATCAGCTTTTGGATCAATTGCCAGTCTTATCAGCTTTGGGCTTCTTGGACTTAATAAAAAAGCAGCACGGTGACACTGAACTTAAGTTGTTGAATGCATCTATAGGCCATAGAAATAAACATTTGTCATTAAGTTGATGGAAGAATCGACTTGATAACGATCTCAACATACAAAAACGCCAAACTGCTATACAGGGTTTCTACTTTCACTTTCAAATCAGTACGTAACAAAAGTCAAAACAAAAAGAAAACAGAGTAATGCCTTTAGCCTAACATGTAAATTGTAATGTTTACATCCATTCAGAAACAAATTTATCCAAAATTACTTACAGATCATCACTAACGTTATGTAGGTTTACGAAATGTATTAATCTAACAATTACAAGTGTTGAGAATATTATTATCCGAGATTCAATATCGATATAAAAGCGGGGGATAGAGTCAGAGAAATCTCGGATTAAGAGTATTACAGAGATGAGTTCATACGAACCTGTAACCGTAATGAAATGATATTTCAACAATATGAATTAAAGGTCTTTAAGAAATTGTTTAGAAATTACTTACTTTTTCCAACACCCAGCACTTCTGCTGCAGCAGTGACGTCAAACATGACGTACACTTTCATCCGATAGAAGTTCAAACCGATCCAGGAAAAATACGGATTTTTTTTTTTATTTTACTCAAGTAATAAACCCAAACGCAAAATATTTGAAATAAAAAGCAAATTGATTTATTCTTTATCAATTTTGACTGGGATATGCATTATAACAGAAAAAAGAAAACTGTGAAAGTTTTTTTATAAGGGAAAAGGGGGGGTGTTAAACAGAGTTATTGCTAACAAATTCTTTTGAAATTAATGTACATTTAAATTACTATTTAGATATATCATTGAAATTGCAATTTAACTTGAGTATACCAAGGACAAATAAGTGAATACTGTTTCATGTGATTCTCATATGATCACTGTCAAAATATTCAAATGATTTTTACCTGAGTATATAACAAGGGCAAATTAGTTAATATGGTTTCATATGATTCTCATATGATCAGTTTCATATGGTTCTCATAGGACTACTACCAAAATATACATATGATTCTCATATGAAGGACATTTCATATGAGAATCATATGTATATTACTTCATATGATTAACATATGCATGATCATATGATTCTCATATGATTGGCCACATATGATTCTCATATGATTGTATAAACATATGATTCTCATATGTTCCACACATGATCTTCATATGAAAGGCAATGCATATGTGGATCATATGTGGGTAAATTGCCTATGTAGCAACATCTTAGTTAAAATATTCTCATTTAAAACTGAATGACTCAAGATGTGAATCGACCTTTAGAACGAACTTTGAATATTTTCCCTATCTCTTTAGATATCTGCCCTTATGCTGTATCTTCAGGACACCTAGACGCCATCGACTGCTCCACTTTCCTTTATGGTTGTCCGAGGGAACCTTACATTACCAATGAAGTTTTCAAATGTAAGACGAAATCTTTTTCGGATGCAATAGTACATTTAACATGTGTGACGAGGGCCTGTGAATAAAAACAATCAAAAATAGGCATGTATTTATTGTTTCAGATTCAGCCTGCTTGGAAATCAATCCACAAAAACGCTGCTATTTGGCAAATGAAAACTGTTTAAATGAAACGTAAGTAAATCTGTGCACTCTCATGCATCTTCTCATAAGATTAGACGGATTGAATCAAATTTTTATATTATTGGGTGAATCTTTTATTATTTAAGGAGCCGTGCAATACCAAATTCCACAACGTTTAATCTCATGACTGACTCCTCAGCATATATCCTGTCCACACACAGCTCTAATCTTACTTCGGTGTCACCAAACAGTACTTTTAATTTGCAGCCAGGGATTGAGACCGCATCTATAATTGCTGGAGTAGTATCATCATCGATCTTTCTAGTCGTTATTCTCCTGTTCTTATTCATTTTTAACTCGAAAAGATGTCAGTCTTGGAACACAAGTGAGTTAATTTTATGTTTACTTAAGAAATAAACAACAATGTAAAAAGTGTCTGAGAATGAACGTTTAGTTGGTCACGTGATCAAATCCTGTGAAGCCCGAAAGATTCGTCTTGTTTCAACATTTGAATATTTACAATGATGATCAGCAGTCCAGTTTCAGAATTTTATATTGAAAAAAACAATGATCCCTACGGAGAATAATCTTATTATTTTATGAGTTTTTAATGTATTTGAAGTCAAAATTAGTGATATCCCCTGTTTTAGTTAACATAACTTCAAAGGAATTTCCGATTTTAGACTGTAATAATAGTATTCAAAACATTCTTCCCACCAAAGGAAGATCTAGTAAACATCTGTTGAATAAAAATATCTATATGTGTCAGTTATTTTATCCTTTTCATCGCGTTAACCTTGGTAGTCCGAAAACAGACAGAAATATATATAAACAATATATCACCTAGCCTAGCAAATAGTAGCACTATGACATCTGACACCCCAATGAAGTTCACACAGAATTGAACATATGTTTTCTTCAATAGATTCATCTAAGAAAGAATAATGCTGATATAAACATATGTACATATATCGTACTTTTGCTGTTTCATAACAAATGCTGTTGTAGTCTAGCTACATGTATATGCAAGGATAATTAAAAGTTACCAAATTTAGTTCGATACATTTATTTACGCATATTTCTAAACATTTCTAAAATGTATGAAAAAAAATGCGTAACTCAACATAAAAAATTAAGTGTTTTGAGAATATTTTTGAAGATTTTGAGAACCTTAGTTTACTGTAATGCTAAAGTCAGAATACGCAGCACTGTTAAGGCTTGAAAAAAGGGCGGGGCCTTATTTATACGGGTAAAGTAACTGTGACGTCACACAAAACTATCACTTTAATTTATGTATTTCTCATGATACCTGAAAATGAAATAATTAGCAACTTTTAAATGTATTAGCATAATGAACAACAATAAAACTTTTCAATCTATTAAAAAACACTTGCTAGTTAAATCCAATGTAGCTGGTTATAAACAAAGCACTGATTGCGATGAACTTATAAAATGACGTCATTTTGGTAAGAATGACGTATTTCATGTGCTGTGATAGACAGATTGAGGAATTTTTTAACAATGAAAAATGCGTTTTATTATTAAACGGAATATTAAATACAGGTGTTAAATAGTCGATGAATACCAATGTATTTCCTTTGTTTAGAGCGATTTTTCATTAACTATCTAAAGAATGTATTTTGTTAACTATGTCGTGTTTTTATGTACAGGCTTCGTATATTTTACAACGAGATGTTGATAAAATCGTACTTTGGCAATGGCATACCCTAATAGATCTTAACCATTTTTTGAATAAAGATAAAGGATATATATCTTAACTTGAAAAATGCTGCTGCTTTCTTTAAATCGAGGGTGTGATTTTGTAAGTACACAAAATATTTGGTAAAAGTCAAACATATTTCGACATTGGCTCATTTACCTGAAAATTTAACTATTAAAACGCGAATTGTATTCAAAGCAGCAGTATTTTTCAGAAACTACAAAGTATGGAGAAATAATTAATAGCTTGAAATTTTAATTTCAACTAGGGTATGCCCTTGCGATATTGAAATTTGTTCATGACCTACGTACATTCAGTACACGAACTATGCATACATCACGTGACTGTCCATCGATGGGACCAAATTTCATACAGTACAGAGTGGGTTATACTATGCTATTTCCATAAGTATTTTAATTCTGTGATGATAAAACAGCTTAATTAAAATAAATTAAGTTTTATAAAAATCCCCCTTTTTTGCACATCTATTTTCCTTCGATTTCTCATAGTAGGCCTTAACCGTGCTGCGTAACATCTAAACATCAGTTTTTATTACCGTGGAACTTTTTTATCCCTCATCAGACATTTTTTTTTATGACAATGAATTCCTTAGCACGGGACATCATGCCCAGAAATTTTCTAACACATCATCTCTGGGAAGAGGAGGGAGGGGATGTAAAAACTTTGCAACATGAAAAGCATTGTTTGATGAAAGAAGCTATTTACAAAACGATCTGTGTGCTGCCTTAACATATCTGCGTAACAATTAAGTAATTCTTTAGCAAAAGAGTTGTATGTGTATGTGGTACATAGGCCTTTAATTATAACTAATATTGATTAAGTTCCAAATTCATCACGAAGATATCAAGAATTAAAGTTTTTCGCATAGATTAAGGGGGATGTACGGCCACCTTTAGTGCAGTGAGAACAAAATGTAAACATTTCTTCAAATGGCTAAAGTACATTACATTTTGATCAAATTTTAAGTCTTTATGATAAAGATACAATAAATATGCATAACTGATTGCATGTTGTGCATATATAATATATACTTTTGCAGAAAAATGCTTTTGATATCCTCCTTAGAACTGCGCAGCTACAGAATTCAGCAGAGCCTTAAAAAATCCAAAAAAATACGCAAACTGTGCATTAATGTTCTCTCTACAACCATTTGTTGAGAAAATTTCTAAATTTTGCACTTTTAAATGATAATTTTAAGTTCAAAACAAGGTATCGTTGTCATCAAAAGAGTGTAAAGAACCAAAAAAGTAGTTCATTGATAGCAGCACGTGGTCTATTTTTAGCACAGAATTTTGTTTTCAAGACCTATTCTTAATATGGAGGGACATACTAGTAACAATCTTTAAATGTAGAAGAGAATTACAGTTGCAAAACATTTCAAATAATATTAACGCTTTTAAAAGAGGAATTGTGTTATAGTGTGGCTTGAAGTATTTTATTTAGTATTACATGTATTATCGAACAGTTGTTAAAAGTGTACGTATTGAAATAAACTCTTTGATTCCAGGTAAGGAAAAAATTAGCACCATCAAAGTTTAAAATTAAGAGTTTGTAAGTTTGCACCAGATTGTTGATAATATCTATCAAAAGATTAATTATCGACAATAAACACAAAGAAATTAAACACATAAAATCTATATGAAAAACCTTGTGTTAGTATCTACTAGTACGAGGGGTGATCAAAAAGTTCTCGAACTATCTAAAACCAAAATTTAGATTAGAAACAAATTTGGTGCACTCTCAAGTTCTATAAATAGCATATGCTGAATAAAGTTTTGCTCACAATGTGAAAATGAAGTCATTATGCCGGTACTTGTGCAAAAAATGGTTGTATGTCAGTGGAACTCATTCAACAAACGACTAAAAAATTTATGGTATATCTTAAAAATGCCTTTGAAGTAACGTATAAGAATTTGTTTTTTAAGTTTATTAAGACAAATGACTTCCTAATAATTCAATCTATGATTGGATAGATGGTTTAGTGAAGGAAGGCAGATGGTTGAATATAATACTTGTATGTTGCCCGGTGAAAGCAAGTTTGAAAAGGGGTTTGTTTTTTAATTAAGCAATATGCTGTCAAAGATCTTCCAATTTACACTTTGAAAAATACTTGAATATTTCAAGAACAATAATATAACTATCAAATACCTAAGATATCGTTTACTTTCGATCACCCCCCCCCCCCCCGTATATACTCTGTCAAATAAAACATTACGATTTTCATTACTGCGGAGCAACATTTGAAAGGAATGAAATCATTCGAGTGTGTTAGGAATATTTAACTGAATATTTTTTTATTTGCCCATTTTGTCAAAATTACAATTTTACAGATAAAAAGAAAAAATCAACAAAATGAAATATTTTGATACCATCTTTAAAATGACATTTTCAGTGGACCTCCCAACTCAGGGAAAAATTATTGGGTGCCGGTCATATTTATAGGTGAGAAGAAAAAAATTCATTAAAATTTAAACATATTTGTTGACGGAAGAAAAAAAAATCCTGTAATTGGATTAAAAATAAAATTGAGTTGGGCCATTTCTAGGTAGTAAATCGGAGAGAGGGGCAACCAAATAATTTTAAAACAAATGGTCGTATAAGGCTAGTACATGTTTCATCACATACTTAGAAATGCAAAATTTTTAATCTTTGGCACTTTGTTGAAAAAAGAACATAGGATTTTCGGAAGGGAGGGGGGGGGGGTAGTTCTTCTGATTTTTTGGCGATGGTAGACATAGCATATACAATGGGACCTTTGTTTGCAAACATTGTGATTGCTTCTAAATTTCAAAGAAACAACTCAATATATTTCATCAAGCTTCGTATGTTCATTGAGCGAGAGCTTACAACGTAGTCAACATAATGAGACATGATGCGTTTTTATGTCCAAGCATTACTCCATACAATGTGTTGGTCATTGCAAACAATCAAGCTATTTATGTGAGGTACCTGAAGGAAATCCTATAACTGCCTATTTTATTCTATCTAACTGCTAAAAAAAATAGACATATATACCAACTTTTCGAAGGTAAGACATGTAATTGCAATTTGTTTTTCATGCACCGCATATTGTTTAACATTTTCAAATTAAATGCTAATCATCCTCCTTGCAGTGCCCCATTTCAAAATAACTTCTATCGCCACAGAAAAAAGACCCGACGTAAACACATATGTTTAGGGCATTTTTAAGCTTTTTTCTTGAGTTTTAAAGAAACCAACAAATTATCAAGACTTGTTCCACGAAAAATTAAATATGATCATGGTAATAAACGCATCTATCTACAGCAAATATATGCACATGCCAACCATGTGCTCAGTGTAGTAATATTATCTAGGAAACTCGAGCTGCGAACAGAACAGTTTTTCCCGATTTGCTGAAGTGGGGTTAAAATCGCGGTTTTTCATTAATCAGACGAAGCGATGCAACAAATAAAAGTAGTAAGTAATATTACCTAATGATTATAACTTAGTAATTTCTTGTCTTGATGTTATTATAGTCGCATTTATTGTAAAATCAATGTTATTCGAACTCTGGGTGACAGAGGAATGGCGGACGAAATAAACACATGGCCTCAGGAAGACACACATATGAAAAATCAAATTTTCAAGAATTTTAGATAATGACAAGAAAAAAGCGAAACAAA